GTGGTTAGTTCTAGGACTGCTTGGAGGCAAATCCCAGCATTACCCTTTAGAAGCTCATTGGCCTCAGGCAACATAATTCACTTCTGTGTGCCTCACTTTCTCCATCTATAAAATGGGAAGGATAATGATTCCCCCTTTCAGGGTTGTTTCAGTTAATGTCATTAATGGATTAAAAGAATTCATAACATAAAGCACAGGAGCGGGCTTATCATAGGCACTTGATTCTGTTGATTATGAAATCATAATTGCTTGTGACTAGTTATAGAAAGGCCGCCATGACCTCTCTGGGTTTTCTCTTCTGTTAAATGAGATGATGCCTGCAGGTTGCATTAATATTAGCTCATTTTCACACTGCTGTAAAAAGAACTGCCTGAGACTGGGTAATTGATAAAGAGGTTTAATTGACTCACGGTTCTGCATGGCTGGGGAGGCCTCAGGAAACTTACAATCACGGCAGAAGGGGAAGCAGGCACATCTTACATGGCACCAGGCAAGAGAGAGTAAGAGAGCAGGGAAAACTGCCTTATAAAACCATCAGATTTTGTGAGAACTCACTCAGTAAAACTAAACAGCATGGGGAGAAACTTCCACCATGAGCCAATCACCTCTCTCCCTCAACACATGGGAATTACAATTCGAGGTGAGATTTGGGTGAGGACACACAGCCAAACCATTTCACAGGTGTTGCCTTATACAGGCTCTGAAGCAGGTTCTCTGAATTCTCATTCCTTCCTATTCTCCTGGGTTAATGTTCTCTTCTTCATTGTTGGCTGTTTAGAGATTCAGCATTAATCATTTATGCCATGGAAGTGTCATCGGGAGTGTTGCTAGTCTAAGATGTGGCCTTGTCTTGAAAGTCCCTGCTGCTGGGGTCAGGCCCTGCTTGGTTTCAGGGTTGGCAGTGGAAACCCTTGCTCAAATGTCTGGCCTATGAATGGTCACAACCCAGGCCCTGCAGGCCCGACAGAATTAACTTCTCTGCATGTCATGGTCCCTGCTGCTGCAGGACTCAGGAAGATCTCACGGACGAAAGTCTCCAAGTCCTGGCTACTACCACTAGCCTGTAGTAGGGCATCCAGTTCTCAGCTCTCCCTTGCTTCAGGGTGAGTGCCACTCTTTCCCTCCTGATCTGCAGATAATCTTTGCCTCCCTTTTCTTTGGGTACTTGGGATGATTAATTTTATATGCCAACTTGACTGGGCCATGGGCTACTCTGATATTTGGTGGACATTGTTCTGGGTGTGTCTGTGGAGGTGTTTCTAGGGGAGATGAACTTTTGAATGGGTGGACTGAGGAAAGCCTATGGCCCTCCCTAATGCAGGTGAGCTTCGTCCAATCAGTTGAAGACCTGACTAGAACAAAAAGGCTTCTGCCTCCCCGAGGAAGAGAGAATTCCTTCTGCCTCACTGCCTTCAAATGTGGGCAGCAGCATTTTCCTGCTTTCAGACTAGAACAGAAACATCAGCTCTTCCTGGGCATCCTCCAGTCTGCTGGCCTTTGGAATGGAACGACACTGTTGGCTTTCCTGGGTCTCCAGCTTACCAACTTAGCCTGCAGATCATGGCACTTTTTAGCCTCTACTATTGTGGGGCCAATATAATAAACCTTTTTTCTATATGTTTATTTATTTATTTTTAAGAAAGAGTCTCCCTCTGTCACCCGGTCTGGAGTGCAGTGGCATGATCTTGACTCACTGCAACCTCCATCTCCCGGGTTCAAGCAATTCTCCTGCCTCAGCCTCCTGGGTAGCTGGGATTACAGGCGCCTACCACCACACTCAGATACTTTTTGTATTTTTAGTAGACACAGGGTTTCACCATGTTGGCCAGGCTGGTCTCAAACTCCTGACCTCAAGTGATCCACCTGCCTCAGCTTCCCAAAGTGCTGGGATTACAGGCAGAGCCATGGTGCCTGGCCTCTTTTCTATATCTTTACATCCTTTTGGTGCTGCTACTCTGGAGAACCCTGACTAATTGGGTGCCCTGGAGTGGTCTTCCGGAGGCCCTCCTCTCAGGGTCACAGCCTTTCTACACTTTCTCCCACGAGGCCCAGGAGCCTCCCTGCATAAGAGGCTCTCTGGTGCCCCAGGGCTCCCAAAGGGGCATGCATCTGATGCCCTGTGCCTGTGGCCTCTCCTCACCCTTAAATGCCTGAGTGTTCTGGAAGCTCTGCTAGGCATTGGTGGGAACACATTGCCAATCACTGCTCCTTCCTGGCTTCACTGACCAGGAGGGAGCAACAAATCTGATGAATAAAACCCATCAGAGAGTCCTGACCTGAGTCTTGGTCGGAAGCTCATGTGAGAGACGGCAATGTTACAATTAAGTAAATGGATGACCTCAATTCGGAGACAGTGTTTGTCGAATTGAATCTTCAGTGGGTTAACTTTCCTCATATGGGTAAAAATGATATTTGGGATTAAGTTTTCACTGCACTGAATGCATTACTGGATTTCTGCTTCTTGTCATTAGAAAGGGGACGTAACCTTCACTAAGGCGGTCTGCAGGGACCAGGACGGCTGGCATAAGTGCTGAGTGCTGACTGACCACAGGGGATTAGGGCCGAACACAACTCATTTCACACTGAAAATAAGCTGATTTGTTTTTGTTTTTAAATAAGCCTTATTAAAAACTGGCTGCCACTCATGGAGGATCTGCAGCAACATTGCAGGGTAGGGCTTTGACTTCCCTGGCTTGGCAGACACAGCAAAGCTGCTTTCAAACAACTGCTTCTGCCTGCTTCAAGTTTGGGAATAACCCAGAGGGCCTCCCTTCTGTCCAGGGCCCTGGGAAGGTCCTGGAGACATGGCTCCAAAGAGTAGTGGAGTGTAGGCAGCTTTGGGGCCAGCACTAAGCTGGAGAGGACCCTGTACACAGGTCGAGCAGGCATGGCAGGGTCTCTCAGGCTGTTCTCTCTGCCGCCCATCAGCCTTTCCTTAGATCCCCCACATGCATTCTGGGGAAATATGCGGGAGTTCTTTGGAACCCTTCAGATCCATAAAGTCAAAACTATTTTCATAAGAATATAATGATGTTGTCAAGTGCGGTGGCTCATGCCTACAATCCCAGCACTTTGGGAGGCCGAGGCAGGCAGATCACTTGAGATCAGTTTGAGATCAGCCTGGTCAACATGATGAAACCCCATGTCTACTAAAAATACAAAAAATCAGTCAGGTGTGGTGGTGCATGCCTTTAATCCCAGCTCTTGGGGAGGCTGAGGCAGGAGAATTGCTTGAACTCAATAGGTGGATGTTGTAGTGAGCCTAAGTCGCACCACTGTACTCCATCCTGGGCAACAAGAGTAGAACTCCATGTCAAATTAAAAAAAAAAGAATATGATGATGTTATTTTCCCTCTTCCCCTTTCATTTTGTCACAAGTGTGCAGTGGAGGTTTTTGGAGCCTATGTGACATGGGATGATGTCATCACTCTGATGGTGGATGGAAGTTGCACCCGTGTATTCTTGTTGGTTAAACATTTCTCAGTTTTTATTTGGCATATGGAAAACATCGATAGCTATAAACCACATAAACATGAGCTCTTTGGAGTTCTTAATTATGTTTTAAGAATATAAAGAGGTCATGAGGACAGTAAGTCTGAGAACCTCATTCCTGAATTTTTCTTTTTTTTCCTTCAAGATAAAGTGCCATATGCATTGTGATACTTAATATAGTTTCTCACCACTCAACATGTGCAAAACTGTGCTATCATTATTATTAGATTCCTATATTTTCAAAATATGTAAATGACAGTCTTCTAATGTTATGGGCCAATTCTATTATGCCCACAAACCCTGTGATTTTCATTGTGCAATTTAAACAAATTATTTGTGATTGTGGCAAAATACACCCACTATAAAATTTACCATCCTCAACATTTTCAAGTGTGCAGGTCAGGGGCATTATGTATCTTTACACGGTTGTGCAGCCATGACCACCACCACTCCAGAGCTTTCTTCTTGAAAAACTGAAACTCTTTGCCTATTAAATTGTAACTCCTCCTTCCCCTCACCTCCAGCCCCTGGAACCATTCTGTTTTCTGTCTGTAGATTTCACTTGCCTCATGTAAGTAGAAATAGACAGTATTTGTCTTCCTAGATCTTTCTTGATTCCCTCCCATTTGCAAAACTACCTAGCCTAAGGGTCCAGGGGGGCGATGCAATACCAGAGCTGAGAGCTCTTGTCCTGTAAAGATGTGTCACCGTGCTTTTCTACCACGTCACTTATGCTGTGATGGCTAGTCCTGTTGGCAGTTGCACACGGGAAAGATCACAGACCTTGGACAGGCCTGGTTTTAGAATCTGGGTCCTCTGCTTTTGAAGCTATGTAGCCTTTGCATGGGACTTAAATGCTTCGAGACTTAGTTTCTTCATCTCTACAATTAGGATACAGATCCTTTCATTGGGGAGGTTGTGAGGATTAAAAAATTTGTGGAGGAGAAGGCAGGGACCTTCCGTAGGTGGTCTATGGTTGCAAAAGGCCCTGCAATGAGGGAGAGGAGGCCACAGGAGGCTGAGGAGATGGCAGGAGCTCAATTTGCCAAGTGTAGAGTGGAAGGTGAGGAGTCACATCTTGGAGGGTCTCATGGCTATTTGGAGAGACTGGACTTTTTTCTGAGGGCAATGGGGAGCCACTGAAGGTTTTGTGCAGAAAGAGAACAATCAGATTTCCATCTCAGGAAGGTCATTCTGTCAGTGTGTGGAGGACGCATTGGTGGGGGACACAGTGGGAGATCAGTGGGGATGCTGGGGCAGTTGCCTTAGTGAAAGATGGCACAACACAGCGAAACGCCAGAGACAGCCCTCAAAATGCTTTTCTTCTTTCCTCGAAGCTTCTGTTTCCTGCTTCACCTTTCCTCTTTCTTTGAATCTACAGTCTCCAGAAACTTCTTTATTATCCCGAGCAATCCCGCTTTTGCTCTCAGCTCTCACCTCTGCTCAATGTCAGCAGAATGGTTAGCTGGATAGAAACCATCTCTTACTCCTCACATGTGGTCCCTGAAAGTGTCTCCCCAAGCCCACATCCTCCGCTCCAAGAGCTTACCAAAACATTCACCCAAAGCAGTCAGCTATTGTGAGGAGGTCTCTGACAAGAGAGGGTGAGCTGATACATTCATTCCATGTTTGCTCCTGGTTTTCCCTGTTATCCATAATGCTCCCTGCATTTGGGCAGATGGATCATCACCTAGAGAGAGGGTCATTAGAGCATAATTCAGAGAATGAGAGCTAAATGTTTGGCTTTGAGTTTTGAAAGCCAAGATCCAAGTATGTAATAAAAGATTTGGAAAACTGATCACCCCAAGCCAGTTCCCCTGCTCTTGGAGAGGAGATCAAGTATGCCCAGCAAGGGGTAGGTGGAGGGAGGGCACGGGAACACAAGGCTGCAGCTATCTGAGGGCTCTTCCTCTGGGACCTGAGCCCCTGTATATATTTTTATTTTTTGTAGCAGGGAGAGGTGAGGCAAGGGAATTCAGTGGGGTCTTGATATAGGTTTGGGAAGCTGAGGAGCAGAACCCCAGAGTGAGCCTTCCACTGTGATGTGAAGTGGAATAAATATTTGCATAGTTAATGATAACAGGACCAGATGCCCCTCATTCTGACCCCCTTGAAGATAAATGGGGACAGAGAACAATTTTGTGTATTATTTGGGATGCTTATCTTGCAAGTAACAGAAAACACCCCTCCTGTTGACTTACATGAGAAAGAGAGTGTATTGGTTCGTATAAAGAACACAGGGATAGGATTGTCTTCAGGTGCAGTTTGATCCGGACGTTTCACAACAGCATCAGTGTGTGGCTCTGTTTCTCTCTCATTCTCCTGGTTTTGCACTTTTTCCCATGTCGGCTTTGTCTTCAGCTCATGGTAGCAAGATGCCACACATTTCCTTGCTCACATCTGGGGGGAAACAGACGAGAAAGAGATTGCATTTCTTTCCCTCTAATTATTGGGCAAAAGTCCTGAATTTTGCTCTAATTGGACCAACCTAGGTCACAGGCCTTGGGCCAATGTGAGTATGGCCTGCTATGAATGAAGGGGAGAGGTTGAGGGGTTGAGTTCCTGGAGGTGGGCAGTGGCCACATCTGGGGCGGGGGCTGGAAAGCCAAAGTAGGGGCTGGACTCTATTTTAATGGCTTGGAGCAGCCAGTGGGGATGGAGCAAGGGTGTGATAGAATCTGATTTACATTTTCAAAAGAACACTATGCTAAGAATGGAGAATGGATTAAATGAATGAACCTTTTTGGTGTGGAAAGAAGTGAAAACTTTTTGCTACTTACAACCCTGCTTCTATGAAAGACCATTTTGTTTTGCCCTGGCAAAATCTGGGAATAAGGGCTGGGCAGAAATGAATTTCACTGTGCAAGAAAAGGGAATATATATATTTTTTTGAGATTAAGTCTCGCTCTGTTACCTAGGCTGGAGTGCAGTGGCGTGATCTCAGCTCACTGCAGCCTCTGCCTCTCAGGTTTAAGAGATTCTCCTGCCACAGCTGCCTGGGTAGCTGGGACTGCAGGTACATGCCACATACCTCGCTAATGATGATTTTTTTTTGTGTGTGTTTTTAGTATAGTCAGGGTTTCACCACGTTGACCAGGCTGGTGTTGAACTCCTGACCTCATGTGATCCGCCCACCTTAGCCTACCAAAGTGCTGGGATTACAAGCGTGAGAGAGCAAGTAGTTAGAGAGTCTGGCTCCTCCAGCTTCATTCTTTCTTGTCTTGTGATCTCTTTGCATGTTTCCTTCCCCTCTTTTCACCATGACTGGAAGCTGCCTAAGGCCCTCACCAGATGCAGCAGCCCGATCTTACACTTTCCAGCCATCCGAATTGTGAGCCAAATAAACCTCTTTTCTTAATAAATTACCTATCTTCAGCTATTCTGTGATAGCAACACTAAAAGGACTAAGACGGGGCATTTTTAGAAACTGGTTTATTGAACTTTGAATTTTAAGTTGTATGTATCCTAAGATTTAAGTCCTTCCAGGTCCGCTGAAGCTTCAGTAGTCTGTACACTTATGAATAACTGGATGTGAGGAGGGTGTGTGCCTATGTGTAATACAGAAAAGGGCACAGTTCCAAGTCTGGGTTAATCCGGCATGGGCCACAACAGCATGTGTGGGATTGCAAAATGAACCCAAATGGAATAATTTCAGGGTCACATAGAGTGAGGAGCCAGACGTGACTTTAAAACTATAAACTCCCCCACTTTTCACCCTGCATCAGGAACTTCCAAAACCTTGGATGAGGCAATGGCGTAGGGAAATTCTGTAGAACGGGGATTGGAAGTGCTATTACTTGAATTCAGGGAATAAGTCATCACCAGCTGACATCTGAGTTGTAAATGCTTTACAGTTTATAAACTAATTTCATATGTTTTATCTAAATATGAAGTGAAATCCAAAAAAGGCCTTCCCTGGGAAACTACCACCCTCTGTTTGGGAGTTGAAGACTTATTCTGAAGGAGTGTAAATTGCAAGATCTTTCTGAGATGCTATCTGGCAGTGTCCACTGCAATTTGAACATACATTTCCTCTGACACATAAATCTTTTAGACCACTATTAGAACTTTGTCTTACAAAATAAAACTCCCAGTACAGCAGGAGAGATGGACAGTAATTATTACAGGGTCATTTAGAATAATAGAAAACAAACCGACAAACCAACAAAAAACCCCAAACTTGAAAGAATTTGAATGTCTATCAACAGAAGACTGGTTAATAAAATCAGGGTACATACACACAGTAGGATGCTATGTAGCTGTTAAAAAAGAGTCAGAGCCATATCTCATGAGCTGGAATAATGGCCAGGATATATTGTTAAATTGCCAAAAAGCTAAATGCTTGTCCCAGTTTTGTTCTGGGAAGAAAAGTCAACAGCGGAATGTGTATTCATAACCGTTACGTTAAAAAAGCATGAATAAAAAAAATCAGTGATACACATCAAAACAGTAATCTGAGAGTGGTGGGATTAGAAGGAAAGAGGAGAAAACCATGAACTTTAAAATCTATATATTCCTATATAATACTTTATATAGTGTGTGATTTGGTTCTATATGCAATAAAGTAGAAAAATTTCCAACTTACTCGAGGAGCTGCCATTCCAAGCAGTAGGAATTGTTTCAGAACTCTGTGGAAGGCTGTTATTTTTTTGGGCGTCAGATCAGGACACCAGTATACCTGATTCTTTGTTCAGCCACCCCGCAAGAAATGCCTTCTCCCTTCTCCACAATAGTGTGTGTGTGTGTGTGTGTGTAAGAGAGGGCATACCTCCAGCCAGTCCTGGTAAACCCCTCATCTCACACATCTTCATCCATAAAACCTCCAGGATAGCAATAACAACAAAAGCATGGAGCGAGGGGAGGGGGAGTACTGAACCATGGTTGGGAATGGAGTTTCTAAAATGGAGGCTGAGTTTCCACACATAAAGGAAGTAGGTGGAAAATTTCACAAAACTCTGTAGATGGCTGGCAGAGACCCAGGAAAAATTAAATTATCTCCAGACTTGAGTTTTTCTGGTAGAAGCTTAAAATCTCCTCATCCCCTCACATGGGGCACACAGCTGGCAAAAGAATGTTGTCCAAGATCGGCCCCGGCTGGACTCTCCACTTCCTGTCCCTCCACTTCCTGTCTCTCCGCTTCCTGTCTTGCTACTTCTTTCCTGACTGGCCTCTCCTTAAGTATCCTAAGCCGCTGCTCAGTGCCCTGGGGCTGGCCTGGGAGTTCAGACAGCTCTTGGGCTCAGTCCCTGCAGAGTTGGCTTCTTTGTGGGAGCATTGTGCCCAGGTGGCCCCCCTCTGGTTCTGCAGAAGAGCATCACGTGGCATTTTATCAACTGGATTAGGTTCCTGGGTTTGTTTCCTTTTTCCTTCTCTTTTTAGCACCAGAGTGAGGAGAGGCTAGGAGGAAGAGGAGACTCTGAGAAGCTGTTTCTTTACCAGGTGAACTAGGACTTGGACTAGAAGGGAAAGGAAGTTTTCTCAACCCTGCAGGTTTAACAGGAGGCGACTGGACACTGTCTCCTCAAACGATGCCTGTCAGGAAAGTTTCTAAATCACGCTCTCTGGGGGCCCTGGACAGAGCCCCGGAAGACTCAAGCCTGGGTCAGTCAGCATGAAAAATATCAAATGAACAATGGCTTTCTGCATAAATGGCAGTGTTCCATTGGGGAAATTTATTTTCCACTTGAAAAGCTAATGAAATCCAGTCATGGTGAAAAACCCAGCCAAAGAAAGAATTGAGGCTTTCTTTTCTTCAGGAGGAGAATAATGCTGAGTTCTGGCTGGTTCTTTGTGGAATCCAGAACCCAGGGAGAAGAGGGGCTGGGCCACGTGGAGTCCCCAAAACCCTGGTTGGAAAATGTGTCTTGGGGTCAGACAGGAAGCCTAGCGGTGTTGGCAAAGGCTGGGGGAGCCCAGGAAACATGCTCACTCTTCTGAGGGGGTGTGGGGCATGGCTGAGCAGAGGAGAATTTGGGGACATCTAAATATAGCATGAAAGGCAGAGCCAAGAGCCCAAGAGAGACAGGAACTCAGTGGATTTCATACATCTGACACTTTCTCAGCTGTTTCTTTTTTTGGTTTGCCCATGCTGAGGTGGGGCAGGGAAATCCAGGACTCAGTCTAAAATGTTCCAGATTTCGTGTGCTTTGTCCGTGGCTTAATCTGACAATTGCCTTTTCCTATCAACATGCTACCTTCATCTCAGCTGGAGTGCCCTGCCTCTAGGAACCTTCTTGGCTTGCCCTACCCATATTCTTTCTCTCCCATCACTCAGAGCACTGAAAATATGGTTTACTTCTACTGACCTGTGATCTTTGAGATGCTGTTTCCCCTGGTTAGCAACCTTTAATGGCTCCCTATTACCTCCAGAAGTTGTACTTTTTAGGTTTCTGTTCAAAACTCTTGCTCCTGCCTACCTTTGCAACTACGTCTCCCACCGTTACTTTGAAAGCCTCTTAGATTTCAGAATGAAGCAAATAGCTCATGTCCCTTAATTGTGCTTGTTTATACCAGGTGTTTTGCATCTACGATTCCTGTTCCAGGAATTCCTTGCCTTCCCTGACCTGCCAGAGACCGAGTCATTTAAGAAGCAGCTCAGACACTATTCCCTGACCACAACCTGCACTGCTCTGAAAAGTTAGTCAGAAGCTCCCAAGGTGACATGTGCAGGCTCTAGTTAGAGCACTTTGGACGCTGAGTGGCAGTTTTTCAGACCTTGGACACATTCATCTGCCAGAGTCTCAGGTTCCTCATCTGCAAAATGGGGGTACTAGGACTCCTGCATGAGAGTGGGTGAGGATTACAAATGAAACAAAGCATGCAAAGCCCTGGAAGCACTCAGTTGCTGACTGGAATTATGTTATTAGACAGGGAAGGTGTCTCATTCATTTTCATATCCTCAACTCCTAAGGCGGAAACTGATTGGAGAGTTTTGCTGTGCTTGTTTGTTGAAGAGAGGGATGGCTGTCTTGTGATGTGTTATTTGTCTCTCTCTCTCTCTGGGTGCATGTCTCCAACTAGATCTGAATCCTCCCTGATAATGCTTGTCCTCTTTCCCCCACAATGCACAGCTTGCTGCAAGGGCTCAAAGAACATTAGCCCATCAAAGAGAGGCAGGGAAGAGGAAAGAGATGAACATCCTAGTGCTCCCATGGAAGGCTCCTCTTTCCCTCCTCAGACATGTGGGGAGGCAGTGTTTCTTCTCTCCACAGAGCACAGGCTGGGGAAAGTAAGCAGCCCCCTTAACCAGAGCTTTGATTGGTTCTGCAGGAGAATGAGAGGGCCCCTCAGATGATTTTTTTTTTTTTGAGATGAAATCTCACTCTGTCATCCAGGCTAGAGTGAAGTGGTGTGATCTCAGCTCACTGCAACCTCTGCCTCCTGAGTTCAAGCAATCCTTTTGCCTCAGCCTCCCGAGTAGCTGGGATTACAAGCATGCACCACCATGCCCAACTAATCTTTGTATTTTTTTTTAGCAGAGATGAGGTTTTGCCATATTGGCCAGGCTGGTCTCGACCTCCTGACCTCAAGTGGTCTACCTGCCTCATGCTGGAATTATAGGCGTGAGACACTGCACCCAGCCCTGCTCAGGTATTTTGAGTCTCCAGCAGGGTGAGGCAAGGGCAGAAATGACAGTGGCAAGGAGGCACTTCCCCAAAAAGCAACAGTGCATCTAATCTTTAGCAAGAGAGTAACCTCCTCTGTGCCCACAGGGCACCAACCATTGTGTGTGCATTTTCTTGTTGACTCTCACAAGTCTTTTGGGGCAGGCACTGTTATCATGCCCATTTTACAGATGAGGAAGCAGACTCAAAGAGTTCGAGAGGCACTGTTATCATGCCCATTTTACAGATGAGGAAGCAGACTCAAAGAGTTCGAGAGGCTTCCTGAGGCCAAACAGCTTGTTCCTAGAGGGTCTGGGAGTTCAGCACAGTCTAGCCTGAATCCAGAACTTGGGCACACAGGTGCCAGGTATAGAGAAAAAGGAAGGCATTGTTATGCCAAGTGTGAATGTACCATGTGGGTGGTGAGGCCTTTAACTTGAGCTAGCCCATTTGCCCCTCTGGTGGCGAGGACTTTAACCTGAGCTAGCCCGTTCCCCAGTCTGGTGGCAAGAGCTTTAACCCTGAGCTAGCCCATTCCCCAGTCTGGTGGTGAGGGCTTTAACCTGAGCTAGCCCATTTGCCCATCTGGTGGTGAGGGCTTTAACCTGAGCTAGCCTGTTTGCCCATCTGGTGGTGAGGGCTTTAACCTGAGCTAGCCCATTTGCCCATCTGGTGGTGAGGGCTTTAACCTGAGCTAGCCTGTTTGCCTGTCTGGTGGCTCCAGGGAGGTTCTCTTCAGTTCCCAGATGAAGAAAAGGGGATTTGCACCAGGTGGAACTGTTGCAGCCTAGCTGCATCCAACCAGTGTCTTCCCTGTAGACCAGGTATGATCTCCCAGGTCCTGGTATGCTTGTCCTTAGGAATCTGACTCCCACCACCATCCCAATCACCCCAGAGAGTGCCCGTCTGCTTCTACCTCTACAGACTTGTATCTTTGTATCCAATGATCCAAAGATACAAACAGTACCTTCAGCCAGAAGGGACTTAGAACCCTGATGTTCTCTGGCTGAGCTGTAGGCCAGCAGCTGTGTGGGCTGGGGCCCCTCTGACTCTAGGCATCTCCATCCTCCCTCCTAGGCATGACAGCTTAGTTCCATCATGGGGCTTTGCTCTCAGGCTGATATTTCCTCAGGGATCACAGTGGCTGGGCTCCAGAATCTGTCTGGGGGAGTCCTGCCCAGTGTTGGGGACCAAACTGACCCCTGGCTGAGCAGGTGCTTCCATTGGGCCCCCAGACACTGTTTTCAGAGTGGCTGCCCTGAGATGTGTCCTTAACAAGAGGTGGGGCTCTCCCTGGGGTGCTGGTGGCTGGGAGGGAGTTTTACATGTGGCCTCTGTTTGGAGGTTTGAGAATGGGCCATGTTTTTTTTTTGACATGAGGAGTTTATTGTGTAAAAAAGAAATATCTAGAGAATGCCACAGAAAGTCCTAATATGGTTACAGTACTGAATATAAAAGGCAGTTGCTCACAGTGACAACACTGAAGTACTGAGAGATACTAAAGTACTTTCTGAATTGAAGTCAAATGATGCTCAGCATGGTTTTAATGTCCTCATGTATATCAGAGTTTTACTAGTCTGATACTTCTGTAATCCAGGTAACCAGAACACCCAATCATACAGCTTTTGGTGATATACAACTTGGCAATAACCAAGTCTGGTGATACATAAAACTACTCATGGTACTCATCTGGTATATATCCACACAAACATTTTGAAATTCCAATTCCTTGGTCAAGTGATATATTGCTTGGATTCATTAAATATATTTCGATTTCTGTATTATACAAACAAAGTTAAATGTACAACTAAATTAGTATATGAAAAGTGCTCACTATGTCTTTACAGGAACATTAATCCTGACAAAAATGTTGAATGAATGTACTCTATGCTAATCCTGCCTTTTTATACTTAAAAGGGCCACGTTTACTGAGAGAATGGGCCATGTTTACTGAGGTCAGGAGTCAGAGACCAACCTGGACAACATGGTGAAATGCTGTCTCTACTAAAAATACAAAAATTAGCCTGGTATGGTGGTGGGCATCTGTAATCCTAGCTACTCCAGAGGCTGAGGCAGGAGAATCACTTGGACCTGGGAGGTGGAGGTTGCAGTGAGCTGAGATCATGTCATTGCACTCCAGCAGCCTGAGCAACAAGAATGAAACTTTGTCTCAAAAAAAAAAAAAAAAAAAAAAGAGAAGACTCTTCACCAACAGATTGGGAGTTAAAGGTCAAAGGTCAAGTTATCACCAGGATGCTACTCCATTCCATGTCCAGTGACTCAGGTCAGGCGATGACAGATCCACACTGTAGAGAGCCATGGAACATGCCTTCTGCTGGCTTCACCTGCTTATTGTGAAACACTTTTACAAGGGCATATTTCCCTGGCATGGGGCTTCTTTCCAGAACTTTATGGACACTAGTATCTTCCAGACAAGTGCGTTTCACAGTGAGAGAATTCTGGGAGTTTACCTGCTCCCCCAGGTAACAGGATTTTGATCACTCTTGGGCCTCCTAGTGTTGAAGGGAGATGC